CCCCCAAAGTAGTCTGAACCTTCAAGGCCTAGATGAACATGCAAACTGCCCCACTATAATGCAGAATTTTTTTTTTTTTTTTTTTTTTTTTTGTCTTTTTTCTCCCTCTTCTGTTTATGCTGACTTTGAGCTCACTTTGTAGCCCAGGCTGGTCTCGAACTCAAAACGATCCTCCTGCCTCAGTCTCCCAAGTGCTGGGATTACAGGCATAAACCACCATGCCCAGCTCAACTACAACACAGAATTACTATAAACCCTTCGTCTACACTGTGTCAGACTTCATACATAAAAGCATATCACTGTCTCATATTTCTGTGCATTCACCCTACTAATCCAGTCACACCTTGGTACCCAAGAACTTCTAACCTCATTGAATTTGGTACTCAACATATTTTGATGCAAAAATTCTGTGCCACTGTTCATTTGTTTGGTACTTAATGTGCAAGCCATAACCTGATGTTGATTGCCTTGTGACTCCCTACCCTTTCCAGACAAAACAATTTGGAAGTCAGCACTTCTGGTACTCACCACGCCTCCTGGGGCCAGTTAAGGACAAGTACTGAGGTACCACTGTGTAAGTTTCTCGCCAGCACAGGCCATACCTCACTCATGTTATCCTCAGGACTAGAAAGCATTCCGATGCTTCTTACATTCCGAATGCTATCAAAATGCTGGTCCTCCTGGCTTTAAATACATAACTAAAACATTTAAAGTCCCCAAATCAATAGGTATATAAATTTTGGGAGGTGCCAGCAATTGAGGCCAAGGCCTTGCACGGCAGCTAAGCTTTAATAAATATGAATTCTATCCTAATTAATGAGTCTCATTTCAAACAGGACCCAAAAGAATTCTCTAACTTGTAACCCAAACATAATGAACTCTAGAATTTTCAAACCACAGAGATCAACTTGCCTTTTTTTTTTGCAAGAGTTGAGGGATACCATGGATTGGAACCAGAGCCTCTGCACTGAGTTCCACCCTCAACCTTTTTTATTTTATTTTGAGACAAGGTCTAAGTTTCTAAATTGCCCTAGCTGGGCTCAAACTTGCAGTCCTGCTTCACTCTCTCATACAGCTGGAATTACAACTCACTCCACAAACCCTGCTGAGGATAGATTTTCCTAATCTTAATATATCTTTCAGCCAGTTGTGCTGGCACATGCCTGTAATCCCAGAGTTTAGGAGGCTGAGCCTGGAGGACTGATGTGAGTTTGAGGCCAGCCTAGGGTGCATAGTGAATTCTCTCTTTTTTTTTTTTTTTGGTACCGGGAATTAAACTCAGGACTTTGCACTTGCCAGGCAGGTGCTGTACTGCTGAGCTATATCCCCAGCTCTACATAGTGAATTCAAGGCTATCCTGAATTATACAGAAAGACCGTGCCTCAAAATAAATAAATGAATGAATAACTACTTTTCAGTCAGTATACACAATATACTTTTCAATACAGTTTGTATCAGTGATTAAACAGTATCACATTATTTTGGATTATGAAAGCTTCATCCCACAGTAACTCTCTTGCCACGAATTTATCAGCTCACTAGTTTTATGAAGCTATGAGTACTACATACAAAGAACAGTGTGTGTTCTGTACTAGGTACCAAACAGTACTAGGTACCAAACAGTACTAGGTACAAAGGTAAATGAACTAAAACAAGGAAATAAAACTGGGTATGGTGGTACATACCTATAATCCCAGTATTCTGAGAGGCTGAGGCAGGATTGCAAGTTTGAGCCTATCCTGAGCTACTCAGTGACTTAGAAAGTCTGAAAACAAAAAGATAAAAAAGGGCTGTGGGGGTCTGGGAAAGGAGCTCAGTACAAAGGCTCACTGAACTCTGGGTTCAATCCCCAGAGCTTTAAAAAAAAGTTGTGTTTCTTTTGATGAGCACGTTTCATTTTTATAAACACCAGAAACTGATCTTTATTAACTTCTCTGCCTCGTTCCAGGAAACTGAGAGCCACATATGAAGTCTACTTTTCGTAACCGTAGAGCACTTTCTGGTCTTTGTACTAATCTTACTATTGGTTGAATTTTATTGTTCTCTCATTTCTTCTTGGCCTAAATTTATTTGTAATCCTCTAGACTATACATATTTCGAAAAGAGGTGGGAAATAAACAGGTATGTGTGACTTATTTTGCTGTTTTGTTTCTAGGACAGTGGCCTCTCTATATTGCCTAGGCTGGCCTCAAGTCCAGACCGTCCTGCCTCGGCCTTCCGATAAAATGGGATTCCAGGTGCATGCCACTAGGCCCAGCTTGCTGGAGGCTTTTAACCTAAAATGTGGTACACAGAAATGTCCGTGCACGAGGTACTGTTCTAGGCACTTCACAGCCCTGGAAGAGTCGGACTATTATTATTTCCATTACACAGATGAGGAACATGGGGATCAGACATGTTCATTAACTTGTGTATGATCTCACAGCTTGTGTCTGGCAGCAGTATCCATGACAAATGAGTAAATGTACAGGTTAAGGAGACTGTCAAGGAGAAAAAAGAAATTATTCCAGAAAGAGAAATCACACACAAAAACCCACACAAAGGAGAGAAAACATGAGTTCTGGAAATGGCAAACAAAACATAGTTATAGTCAGCAATTCATTCATCTTGAAGTGTTCACCAGAAACTTAAATCACTTAAAATCAGACATTTAATTGATCCATTTTTGTTTTTTTTTTTTTTTGGTTTTTCTCCGGGACCGGGAACCGAACTCACGACCTTGCGCTTGCCAGGCAGGCGCTTTTGCCGCTGAGCTAAATCCCCAGCCCCTAATTGATCCATTTTTGAGAATTTCTATGGTTGTAGTACTAATGGAGGGCTGCAAAGGTAGTGAAAGTGAAATAAAGGTAGTCCTTTGTTATAACAAGGCTAAAAAGTCTGATTCTGCTCAACAGCAGTAGGGAACCACAGAGCTCCTAAGCACTAGAAAGAATTACATGATCGACTTCCACAGTGTGGTGAATTAATTATACATTACAGGTAGGGAAACTTATCCAGATGGTACCAGGAATCTGGCAGCAGGGTAAGGAGGGTTAAACCAGGGTTGTCCAAAAGAAATACAATGCTGCCAACCATGGTGGTGCACACTTACAATCCCAGCACTTGGGAGGCTGAGGCAGGAGGATCAATGTGAGTTCAAGCCAGCCTGGGCTACATAGTGAGTTTAAGGCCAGCCTGGGCTACAAAGCAAGACTCTGTTTCAAAAAAAAGAAATACAATGTAAATCAATAATGTAATTTTGATTTTCTAGTGGCTACCATTAGAAAAAGTAAAAAGCCAGCCAGGTGTAGTGGTACATACCTCTAACCCCAACTAATCAGGAAGCTGAGGCAGGAGGACCTTAAATTCGAGATCAGCCTGGAAAATTTAGCAAGACTCTCACTCAAAATAAAAAATATAAAGGGCTAGAAATGTAATTCAGTGGTAGAGCACCTCTGGGTTCAATTTCTAATATCACCAAATAAATAAATAAGTAAAAAGAGGTAAGCAAAAATAATTTTAGTTACTATACATAAAACAGTACTTCAGTACATACTCATTAAAATTTAGAAAGAGAAGCTTTACATTCTTTTTCTACTCTAACTTAAAATCTAGGGTGTATTTTAGACTTCTTTCAGCTACTACATTTTCATTGGGAATATTTGCTAGGTTTTAGATTTCATAACATCTATAGATGAAATAACAGATTCACATGCCCAAGGATGTCTAAGACATACACATACATGTTTCCAGGAAATGATCAACTTGTAAATTAAATACGACCTGTGAAAATCACCCCCTGGTCATGTCCTCCTTGCTGGAGCTTCCTTTCCCCAAGCCAATGCCAACAAATGTAAAAAAAAAAAGCCTTCTAATAACTAAACAGAATTGCTATGTAGTACCTGACACATGGAATGGGCTCAAAAGTACTTGCGCGTGGGGCTGGGGATTTAGCTCAGCAGCAAAGCGCCTGCCCGGCAAGCGCAAGGTCGTGAGTTCGGTTCCTGATACCAGAGGAGAAACAAAACAAAACAACACACAACCAAACAAATACTTGCGCAATCCCTGCTCTTCCTTACTCAAGGAATCATTCACTTGTTTGTGGCAGCTTAAGCCTTGGTTACTATGTATCTTCCGAGGGCTCAACCAGTTCAGTTTATTCAGATTCTATGTACAAGGAGGAAACACTACGAAAATTTTCTAAAACTGTATGAAAGGCATTACAGTAGACCGGCTACAATTTTAAACTCTGGAGTCCTCAGACTATCTGGATTCAATTTTTTTTTTTTAGGGGTAGGGGATTGAGACAGGGTCCCACTATGTAGCCCAGGCTGGCCTCCAACTTATGGGATCCTCCTACCTCAGCCTCCCCAGGTGCTGAGATCACAGACATGTGCCACCATATCCAGCTTGGATTCGAATCTTTGTTCTATCATTTATCAGATGTGTGATCTTGGGTAAATACTTGGCTCCTCTGGAACTCAATTCCCTCGTCTGCAAAACAGTGACGACGCTACACTGTATTGTCTTGAGGTGCCTCAAGGTTTATAGGTGATATGCTATATAAAGCACTGGCACGTAATACTTGGACATGCAGTAGCTGCTCAACAAACATTAGCTTTTCGGGGCTGGGGATTTAGCTCAGCGGCAAAGCGCCTGCCTGGCAAGCGGAAGGTCGTGAGTTCGATTCCCGGTACCGGAGAAAAACCAAAACAAACAAACAAAAACACAACATTAGCTTTTCAAACCGAGATGGTGGAGAAGTTGAAATTATGACTACAGGAAAAAATAAACTAGAATCTCTCAATTTTCTATTACCTTAAATACAAAGAAAAAAGTAGAGGTGACAATCTGAAATCCTGAAAAGGAAAATCTACCATGTAGGAAAAACCCTGCACATTTACAATAAAAGCTAAAAAGCAGAAACTTCCTCGCTGACTGTGTGGAATTGTGCAGTATGGCACAGGTGCAGTCAAGCAAACAGAAAAACACGAAGCCAAAGAGGCAGGCGTCCGTCTTACCTGCCTTTCCGTTTGCGGGGCGGTTTCTCCACCGTGCCAGTCAGTCTGCAGACCAAACACACGAGGCCGGTAACTCAGAGTGGCACCCAGGGGCGAACACGGCCAGGCCCCGGCAGCGGCCCAATGTCCCACCCCCGGGACCTCCGCCTGTGCCCATCCACCGCTGGCCGTACGAACACCTTAGCCTGCCGCGCCAGGTACCAAGACCCAGCACCGCCGGGGCTCGCCGCTGCCCCAGCGTGCTCGCCGCCCAGCCCCGCTCGGCCTCCCTTCGCCACAGCCCAACTTCCCCGAGCCCCCCAGACGCCCCTACCTGCTCATTGTCTGCCTCTGCCACCCTGCGAGCCCCTCAC